AAAAAAAACAGTCCTAACATCTATTAGTCTGATTTCAAATCCACCTCAGTTGTTACATTCCAAGGCTTTCTCGATAGAAAAGCAGTGCAACAAAGTAAATATAATACACTAAAGGCTCAAAGACGCTTCAAAACTGGGATTAAGATCAGAGTGGATTGCTTCTTTTGACAGTAAGAAAGAAGCATATTTACAAACTGTGGAACTGAATCCAGCAATTTGACACATAACTTCAATGAAACCAGGTAGAAGTTGAAGTCTGTTCTGTGACATGCTTGCAGATGTTGTTTCGTCATCTCTGCAACTTGCATTTTATTTAACACAACTCTGGGGGAATTTAAGAGTCAATATTTTTATTTGCTTTAGCAGCTCACTTCCATGCTTATTCACTATTGTTTCTATGCTTCATTTGCATGTTTTCATAACTATGACAACAGAGGTGGTGGTAAAGACTGGAGAAAAAGAGCATCTAATCTCCTTCACAGCCTGCTTCCAGCATAAAATACAGTTAATTAAGGCTGTTGCTGCCTTTAAAAAAAAAACATCTAGCACTCAATGGCACTAGAGTATTACTGGAACCTGAAAAACTTAACAAGTTAAATGGTTCACCGTATTCCAGAAAAGCTAAAAATGACTATGACCTGGATGACTGAGATGTACCAGTACTAAGTAATACAGCTTTATGAAATGGAAGGAACATGAGACATAGAAAAAAAAGTCTGGTGCGGATGTGTATTTAATCCCTTTTAATGGTTAGTAGAATCAAAAATGACAACAGCTCTAAGTATTTTGATGCTTTTGTTTACCTGATTTGCAAATGTAGTCACATGAAATGCAGTTTTGCATTGAAGCCAAGAAGTTTAATTATAATGTAACTTCTACTTCATGTTTGCTTTGTTCTTTACAAGGCTTCTGACAAAGAGTGCAAAGGTTGCATCTAGGCAAACATCAAAAATATTTCCCTATTCCGTTCTGTCAAACAACTAACATATTGTAGTGTGGGTTTAACAAGGTGTTTTAAATGAGCAGCACCCATGTTTAACCTATTCTGTTCAGAAGCTTCTAATGCACCTTTCAGAGGCTGAAGTCCAGTAATCTATCCAGCACCAAAGCATGCTACAATGTCTAATAGGTATTGAAGGCAGCAAATAGGGTTGCCTTGAAAAAAGATACTGTCCCATATTTAGATCAAAATATCATCTAATTAAATTCAGGTTCCAGTCAAATGTTTATAAAATTATTTTACTTACAGAAAAAAAAAAGATCCATCATGTCCTTCGAGTGAAAGACAACGCCTCGTCCAAAAGTGGCAATTTTAGGAGATACACAATGATTGATGAGATGCACTGCATGATTGCCCATGTATCCTCTCTTAATACTTATAAATTTCACTGAACAAATTAAACAACATTGCCATCATCTTGTAATACAGAAGTTTTTTCACAGATGTGTCCACCTGCCTGATTTACCTTGCATGGGCCATAAACTGGCATGGGCATAGCTTATTTTAATGATGACATTTACCAGATTTAGTACGCAGCTATGTAGGCAACCATTTATGCCATCTTCTTTTTGTATTTGGATGAAGGACTGAACAAAGTTCTGAGAAATCTTCACAGGATGCCAGTTATTGTTTTGTAAACTTTACTAGGGGTCATGATCCTGTTTCTTGACTAATGTTCTCCAAGGCCTTCTCAAAAAAAAAATATACATATATTTTCTGACATTAAATTAAAAAAAAGTTATGACCATTTACTGATTGGACAGTCCAGAAATTACAATAACTTTCAAATGTATTTAATTGAATGGAAAAACACTTGAAAAGACAACTTTATTCCAATTTAAATGTATCAATTATTTTATAAACATTGATAATTGGTGCAGTGGGTAGCACTGCTGCCTTGCAGCAAGAAGGTTCTGGGTTTGATTCCTGGCCTGGGGTCTATCTGCATGGAGTTTGCATGTTCTCCTTGTGCATGTATTCTCTCCAGGTACTCTGGCTTCCTCCCATAGTCCAAAAACATGACTGTTAGGTTAATTGGCTTCTCTAAATTTTCATTAGGTGTGAGTGTGTGTCTGAATGGATGTTTGTCTCTGTGTTGCCCTGTGATGGACTGGTGACCTGTCCAGGGTGTACCCCGCCTCTCGCCCGTTGACAGCTGGAGATAGACACCAGCACCCCTTGCGACCCCACTTGGAATAAAGGGTGTCAGATACTGGATGGATGGATGGTAATCAATAGCCTCAGGTTACAAACATTTGATAGACCAGTGAAACATTAGCTGAGATACAGCTCCACCTGTTCAGGCTGGTTCACGAGGAAAACTGTTATCTCCCTGTTGTGGCCTTAATGCAAATTAAATGCATATTTCTGTATGAGTCATGCTCTGGTCAAGGTTCAGCTTATACACTGGCCTGTTTTCTGACTAAATAAATCTTGCGAAACATGTACACAAAAAAAATAACATCAACAAGAAGATATTCTTTTATGAGACCATACCCTTTCAATTGAGCCCAAGACAAAAAAAACTTAAACATCCCAACATCCAATTTCCTCTAGTTCTCCTGTTACCCCCATTTTAACTGATCTACTATGCTTAACATTTCTTGACCCTTAGTTAGTCCCATTTTATCAAGCTTTTATTAGCGGTTGGTTACTGCCTCAGCCTAAAGGGGCTGGTAGGCTTTAACTTTTATTAAAAAGCTTGCGTCGTTCAAATGATGGTATGAGGGCTGTCAGGAGCCGTTTAAGTATTTTAACAAGGAAATGAGAGAGAGAAGTATTTATAAGCATTTGTTTATAGTTCAAATTTCCCAGGGAGTGCAATCTTGCAGGTGTCAAGTGGAAAATGTTGCTGGAACAAAATCTCCTGACAGCATGTAAAGCTTTTGTGAGATTCCAAGTGATAGTTTTGCTCTGTGCCTCATTTCATGGGTGATATTTTCTTTGAAAAGAATGAATCATTGCTTTTCTGATGACATCTCAGCTTGAAGCCCTGCAATCCACCGAACAGTGCCTGGCAGAAACTCATTCCCTGTCATTTTCCCTACTTTTCTGAGCCATATTCCCATTTGCAAAAAAATCCTTTAAACTGTGACAGAACTAGATTGTCAACAGAGATACATCACTTAACACAAAAACAGAAAAACATGAAGCATAGAGAAGTTTCTGATTTGCTTCAAACAAAATTATGATGGCTATGATTATTCAATTGTTGTGGCAATGTGTTGCCTGCCATCCACACTTGATCATTTGGCTTCTAGATATTTTGTCCTAAAATTTGATAATGGATCTTGTTAAATTTAAACCCAGAATTGACTTATGTGTTTGTTGTGCCGTTCTATTTACACACACTCGCACCTGAGTGTAAGCATTAGGTCTGGCAGCATAATGATAAGGACCTTTTCTACCGGTGGTGCTGACCCACGGCACCAAAGTGGGTGTGATAATAAGAAATTATTACTTCCAGATTTTCCAGCTTCACCTTCAACAATAAGATGGCCTTTTAAAAATGGAAGCACTTGTTTTAAAAGAGCAGTCATGGTGGAGATGATAAATATGATATTATTAAGCTTTTACAACTTACTTCCTATAGAACTAACCTCAACAAATGAAAAAGATAGAAACTCAAAAAGTTTGATCTGTTCCAGTTAAAATATTAATTCAAAGAGAGAACTTTTTTGCTTTTGATAAGAAACAAAACTGTCTGTATATGGATGGAGCCAGGGGGTAAGAGAAAAAGAAAATCAAAAAGAAGGAGTCAAGGTACTGGTATGCTCTCTCACTCACATGCCACAGATTCACCTTTGAAACATAACAAATGCTAATTTCCAAATTCTGCTAATGTAATGCATAAGCCATGTTGATTATGGACACTGTGGTCACAAACATTGTGCTAGTTTGTTTTTAAATTGTGTTTGCTGTATTTTCCTTTGAAAATTTTAATTATTATCATCATCACAAATTTTCTACTAACTGCTATTATCATTACCTCCAACAGCTCTTTATTATGACCACAAACTGCCAGTGGCATACAAAATCAACAACTTTTGTGTGTGGGTCTATTTTGGTTGAAGTTTTGGTGAAAGGCAAGGGACATTTTACTTTCAGAAGCAAAGTGCTGTACAGTGCATAAAAAACAATAGGAAAAGAGAGAAATATACTTTGCATTTGCATAGTAGATACAATAAAAAATAAGGTGATAAAATGATTATAAAAAAATAGATTAAAAAAATGAATCAACAATACACTGTTTATGCTGGTAAGGCAAGTTTATTTTGTTATCATTTAATTGTTGACGTAAACTATAAATGCTACTTCTAAGCCTAGGCAATTTCAATTTCTTTTTTCAGTGGGGAGGAGAGAACTTCCTAGAACACAGCTTCAGATGCCTTATCCACAACTTATTACCCTGTCGTCAATATGCACACACAATTAAACACTTATGTCTTTGTTGTTATCAACTTTAGATAACTGAAGTATATCCCCCTTTTAACTGTTCCACTTCTGAACAAAGAGTCCAATGCTTTTCTGGCAGACCTGTAAACTTCTCTTTAAACTCATCAAAGGGGAGCCTCTTACCAGATTTCTCATGGGATGTCTTTTGTTCCCCTTGTTGGGTGTCTATAACAGGTTTTTCAAGTGATTTGCCTTGTTTATAGTTCCATCCATCTTCTCATCAGCTCTATTTAGCCTCTGTCTACCCTACCCCACTGAAGACAAGCTGCTAACATCACATTTAATGGCTTATTTGCCAAAAACCATTGAAAACTATGTTTTCACTTTCCATCCACTTAACTATTGCTTACTACTCTGAGACAATTAAATACATAAAATACCAACAAAACACATTGAAGTTTGTGACATCAACATGGAAAAGTGTAAATTGTTTAAACCATTTTGCAGGAAACTACCTCTTCAGGATCTAAAACTTCCATACTATTTGTTACAGTATGTTTCTGTTTCAACACACAGCTTAATGTCTCCTAGTTTCACATCTTACCTTGTAAAGCCTCCTTGGCTCGATTAAGCTCCTCCTCTTTCTGGGCCAGTTGCACTCGGAGCTCCGTGGCAGAGAGGACATCAGCCGAGCAGCCTCCTTGGGTTTCCTCCAGGTCCTTGCTCAACATGTCCTTCATCTGCCGAAGCAGGTGCACCTCCTCCTGGAGTTGGGCCACCTCTTCACGCAGCAGAACTAGAATATAAGGAAAAGGGAGGAAAGCTTTCACAAGGCTGAACAACAAACCCATAAAACCCTGTTTGAAAAGCCAAAAGGAAAATCTAACACACAAAGAAGGGTTTTCTATAATCCTGCCTTATTCTGGTCCAGCATGAGCTTCAAAGCTCTTATCTCTAACAGACAATAAGACCTTAGGAAAACCATAGTGGTACCCAAGCTTTATTTTGATTGATATAAGTGCGGTAATAAATTCCTTAATATTGATAATAATAAACATTTAATACCTGACCTGATCAGATGAACAGAAGTGGTTTGCTGCAGGTGTAATACACACAGTGTATATATATATATATATATATATATATATATATATATATATATATATATATATATATATATATATATATATATATATATATATATATATATATATATATATATATATATAAAACTATATATATATAGTTTTTTTTTTTTTTTAGCTGTCTGGTAAAACAACTCTTTGAAAAGAATTGCGAGTAACCACGTCTACCTATTATTTCCTGAAGTACTTCTCATTGCCTTCACAAGAAAGCAAACACTGAAATAAAAAAAGGTGTAAATAGCTTATCAGGGCTGCACAGTAGAGCAGTGGGTAGTGCTGCTGCCTTGCAGCAAGAAGGATCTAAGTTCTGCCTGAGGTTTGCATGTTCTCCCTGTGCATGTGTGGGTTCTCTCCAGGTACTCCGGCTTCCTCCTACAGTCCAAAAACATGACTGTTAGGTTAACTGGCTTCTCTAAATTCTCCTTGGGTGAGAGTGTGTGCCTGAATGGTTGTTTGTCCTGTTTGTCTCTGTGTTACCCTGCAATAGACTGGTGACCTGTTCAGGGTGTACCCCGCCTCTCGCCCATTGACAGCTGGAGATAGCCAACAGCAACCCTTGTGACCCTAGCAGGCATAATAAGCGTGACAGAAAATGGATGGATGTAAATAGCTTGTTTCCTCTATTAATTATGAGTCATTTAAAACATAAAGTCCACTTTACTTTAATTTCCTGTATCCTGGCTCTAGTATTGCTATTTAAATACATTGTACATATAAGAGAGAAGAATAGGTTAATTTAAGACAAGATATAAACAATACTATTGATTTTTTAGGTAAAAGTGAAGAATTTAGATTAGTTTAAACATACAGACAAGATTCTTATCTGCAGCAATGTTTACCAATATTGCAGCTAATATTTAAAATTTTTGAGGATCATCGCTTAAGTCATGTAACTGCGACTGTAAAACATTATTGATGATGCAATATTTGAATTCCAAACCCAAATTTTGGTTTTCTTCATTTAATTAAAATGCATTTTCTCTATATTGCACTAGAGCTGGATGATAAGAAAATGAATATCATCAGATTACCAATAGATAATATAATCTGTAATAAATCAAAATCTCCCTGATTCCTATTGTTCTTGTGTTTGCTTCAAGGACATTTTATGACCTTTACTTTCTTGAGAACTTTTATCAGTATCTCTACAAATAGAACGTTGTTACTATTTTGGAAATACATGACATAACTCTGTAAAATAGGAGAGGTGAAACAGAAGCACATAACTGTGACACAAGGACAACTTATGGGGGACACATAGCAAAGTTGCAAGAAATTAGCTGAGCAAGAAATGCAACAAACATCCTTTGCATTAAAGGTAAACATGTTTAGGATAAAACCTAAACCATTAAAAATCTGAATAAACTAAGCTGAAATGTTTTGAAACATGAAAATACGAAAACCCTAATACAGCCGACTTAAAGATGCAATTGCCAGAGATATAACAAGCAAGCAATATTAAAGCACTCACCAAACTCACAAAAGGCAAAGTGAATGCAAAATAAATTGCAACTTGCATGGAGAAATTAACCATTGTCCAGAACCAGTTTCATCCTGTGGAGTGTTTTGTGGATATAACATCCCACTTTTAAGGCATTTCACTGACACAAAAGCCCTGACACTCTACATGCAAGATAGCTCTAAAATATGATGTATGGACTGCCATGGCAACACCATTTTATAGCAACTCCACATTTTCTGATGCACGACAGCTTGTGTGTTGTGTGCTCCATACGAGATCAGTAAGCTAGTGTTCCAACAGTGCTTGTGGATAAAAGGTAAAGAATGTGCCCCATATAGCACAAATTCACAAAAAAGAATATATGTATATAGTCTTAAGGCTTCTTACAATATGAACACTTCTAAAATCTCATTTACTATTCTTTTTTTTTTTTTCCAAAAATCAAACATATTCGTTTAAAATAAATTATCTGGTCAGATCCTGATATAATTACTCAAAATACAATTAAGTCCATGTTGTGGAACAATGCTTTAAATCAGCAGCATTTGATCAAAAGTTGTCTATCTACAGTAAGCCCAGCAGTGCTCCAAGTGACCTATAGCACTTTATCCATAGTATAGATTTAGCAAGCTGCTGAAGAAATCTACCTGATATTTTGGTTCATATAGCTATGAAAGCATCAAAGAGTTGCTGCAGATGAATTGAACGTGCATGATATGAGTTTGAGTTTGAAAAACAATGAGTTTTTTTAAAGAAGGATAGTACACATCATAGCCAAAAACGCTATTGTTCTAATATTTGACAAACTAATTTCATTGTTTCAGTTTTCTCCTTTGGTTTCCTGATGTTTTGTTTTTGGTTTCGGCAACTTTTGGAATGGCTACTGATGATGTAAATATGGTGGAGCTGTGGTTATAGAGCAAAGGATTGCTCTATACCCTTAACAGGGTTTCTTGCTTAATTGATCTCTGTATTCTACCTCACACTAATCTTCCTCTCTGTTATACCTGCGCTTGATACATTTCATATGGTAGTTCACTTGATCAAAATTTGAAAGTGGTGATATTAATCCCTTGATACCCATTATTCGAATTATGCAACAAACCCTTCACATACAGTATTCATCTATTTTATTTTTTCAGAAACCTCATTGGTTTGCCATATCTTGTAAATATCTATTTTCTTATACCATTATCCATTATAACATCTGCAGTCTTTCTCAGTGTATATCCAATTCTGATTCAAAAATATTTGCTGATGTTTTTTTTTTTTGCAGTTTTTACTTCCTATATATTAGTGCTGCTTATCAATTTTCTGCTCAGAGCAAAGATTGACATCTCAAGTCAAGACAGACTTTAAAATACACACTGTAGCAGAAGATATACAGTACAGCAACCTGCGAAGACAATCAGGCAGTTTTTAAAGCACTATATCTTGTTTTGACTATCCTGAAGAAAAAAAAGTAGATCTATGTGATTAACTGTTTGAAGAATAAGAGCATGGCTCTCTGTGCTTCCAGGGGTGTTAATTTGACTAAATTCATCTGATTGAGAAAAAAAGGCTGCCTTTTGAATAATGAAAACTTAACAAAAAGCTGTAATTAGAAGAGTTGAAGAGCAAACACTAGTTAGTGAAGTGTCTTTAGAAAGAGGTATAATTAATGAACATGAAAAGCAAACCTATTAGCGTAACGCTTATTGGACACGAGGATCTGTCCTTTTCTGAAACAACTGGGTAAGGTTCATTCACTTTTAAAATCTAACTATGGTCACAGGCCCAATCTACTTATGTATTAGGTATGCTACATTCAAATGCACAAACGCACCAAACAAGATAAATAGAATAAAAGGAACTTTATGTCATAAAAAGAAACAGCTAAATAAATATTCACCTTACAAACATGAAACTGACAATCTTATCCACTTAAAAAAATAGAAAATAAAAAAACGTTTAAAGTAAGAAATATAAAAACACTAAAGTGTATCTTCCATTTGGGTTTAACTATATACATTTCTTTCTAGTTTACACACACCATATAATTGCTTTTTTATCTCTGATTATTCTTTTAAATTAAAATCAGATACACTATTTTGCATTTCTGTGTTTTTATAAGCCAGTCCTAATCCAAAGACCTGTAATGATTGCATGATTTTTAATAACCTGAAATCACCTAACACCTGCAAATCATGATGGGCTCTAAAACTCTAATAGATGGAAATAAATAAACTCCAACAAATTGAACCATTATGGAGGAAGTATCAAAAGAGATTTCTTCAATAAGGCCGGTGTAGTCAGACATTTTGGTTCATCACTTAGTTGAATTTTAACAAATTCATTTGGCCTAAGGCTATGTCAAAGCAACAGAAATTGGAGGAGGCTTCAAAAAGAAGAGACAGTTTTATGCAGAACAGCCTTAAGGGGAATGCATGCATAAAATAAGATTTAATTTGAGTGCATTGACTGATTTTTCAATTTTATTTTTTTTTACCAAGGCTCCGAATGAGGGTTCTTTATTAGAATATTGAGGAGAAATATTAGGAAAAATTAAAAATACAACAAATTAAAGATCCAACAGGGAAAATAATTATTATGCTATATTTCAAAGCAGCTGGATTTAAAACCATCTGCTGGGGATATGTATGGAAAATAGACTAAATTCGTATAGCACTTTTTTTAGTCATAGCAATTTAAAGAGCTTTATAATTTAGGCAGGTTGACCTTATAATGTTCACAAATTTGGATACTAGGGGCGCAAACAAAAAAATTTGCTCAGAATTACAATATCATTAGATACATATTTTCACAGTAATGATTATTGGATTGCACTGAAAAGGGAGAGCTATATCACAGTTAGTGTCCATTTTAATTAATCAATAAGTGGCATCCTTAGTGGATGCACATCGGTGCACAGATTGTTGGCCAACTTAAAGCTAAGGCCATGTCCAGGGACACATTTGAAAAGGGGGAAACTCAACCACAACTTTTGGATTGAAGGTGACTACTCATGATTCCACATAGCAAGAGTTGTTCATTTGTTAGAAACATGCAAGTTTAAAATATATTTTTATATGTTGGGATCTATTTTCCTGTTTTAAAAATGTATTTATTATAATATTTTTGACTTTGATTAACAGATTTGGTATTTTCCTTGCAGTTGCTATTTCAAGCAATCTTGAATATTTAAAACAA